CAGGTCAGCGTCTAGAATCTTCCTCCAGCACAGAATGATTCGCTTCCCAAATACCATGCCCCCCCTCCCCGTTTCAATGGCAGCCGAAGCAGCAGCAAAGCAGAGGCTGACACATGGTTTCCTTCTCCTGGAGGAAATTCAGCAGGCCACAGCTATGTGCCCTCTCCTTTGGCACCATCGGCATATGCCCTCTTTTTATTTGCATGCCAATCGAGGATGGTTTCCCCTACACCCTGGGAAGTTTTATATCTTGCTTCCTTGTTTCCTAACTTCCTGTCATGGCTTATACGATGGATGTCCTCCTCCTCCTCTGTATATTCCTCTGTTTCTGAGTCTTCTTGCTGTTCCACACCCGTCCCTTGGGTGCGATGGACACTGCTCGCTTTCTGCATGTCGGCTGCAGATTTGTCAGAAGATTTGCTGCAGGGACTTCTTCCAGGACATCTTTGAAAATGGCTCCCCTTCTTATTAGTAAGCTTTTTTTGTAGACTCAGGTCTCTTATTCCCAAAAGTATCCAATCCTTCATCATCTCCTATGGATTTATGAATTCACATTTTGATGCAGGTTCTCACAGTCTTGCAACGAAATCATTTATTGTCCCCCCCCTCCCTTTGGGATCTGCGGTAGAACTCATTTTGTCTTACCATCGGTGATGGGGAGGGTGCATAATGTTCCTTTAATATGTTTTGTAGGTTGGTCCATGGTAGTGTTTCTATGTCTGTGGGGACCGCTAGCTATTTAGCCATCTTGAAGATTCTGGGTCCACGGTAGCTTAGGAAGATTGCCCTTGTCGAAGGAGTTTTGATAGTTGTTAGCCTCCAGGAACATTTAAAAATTGACCATATAGGACAATTCATCAACATTTGGATCAAATGATGTCAGTGGAGCTGGTGGAGCGGGTTGTTCATCCTGGATTTTGCAATGCAAAGTTCCTTTCTCTGCAAAGATGGTTGCTGATGCCACACAATGGATGGTCAGTTTTTTTTTAATCTGGTCTCTTGTCCTTTGTTCTCTTCAAATCTCACCTTCATTGCCAGTGTTAGATAGGGCTGAAGAGGCAGGACAACTGGTTTCCGAGGTATGTTTATTTACATGCTGGAGAACAAAGAGGCTAAATGCAGCTCCTCTTTTAAGAATTTTTTTTAAAAAAAACCTCACCTGAACCTGACCAGCTGACATCCAACTCAGCAAATGTGAGTTCTTTTATTCTGCAAAGGATACACAAGCTGACCATAATGGCCAGCAGACAACCTTAAGACTTCCACTAAAGGGTTAAATAATGACTGAGGCACTCTTGGTGGACACAATACAAAGCAAGCAAGATTTGCCACTCTTGCCTGCCACAGCGTAGTTTTGATGATGAGATTTCCTTTGGAGTCAGTCCTCCTTTAAGCCTCCTCCTTCATTTGAGCAGGTGGCTTAATAAATTAAGTAATAGAAATGTCACATGACGCTCTCTGCGTAATCTGGGCATTTGTTGGCAAGACCTAGAGGTCTTGGATTATGCACAATCTACTAGCATTGAGTGAGTCCCTAATGACCAGAACTCAGGTGAGATGTGTGGGCCACAGCATCAGAATGGACGGCCTTGCCTGTTGTTCTACAAAGATGCTGTACAAGAAACCCTGGTGCCCTGTGCCATCCAGCCATGGGAAGCAGAAGCTGCAGCTTTTGAGCTAGCCTACTGGTGAGCTCTGGGTACAAAGCTTCCACTGGCTTTGAAAGAAAAGCTATGAACTCCATCACAGAATAACAACCCCCTTTACAACAAGAGTGGACCTCTGATGTCCCTGCTGTACTAAATTGCTTCCACTGGGCCTGCAGAGTAACCTGTCAGGCCTGCAGTTATATCCTTTAGGATCTTTGGCCTGCCACACTCTCTATTATTTCAATATGCTGTTTCTTTAGTGTAGTAATTGGGAGGGGGAACAGAAAGGAGTAGAATTGTGGAATGTGGTGTTGTCATTCTTTTCTAGAAGCCAAGGTCATCTTTTGTCTCTGCACCTCTGCATTTGACAGGAACTAGATGGGTGGAAATGCCAGCGTGGCCGAAGAAGATTGGACCATGTGATGGATTTATGGGTGTGG